GCTACACTATACTGATATATGTTGGCAAAATAACATTAATTATTAATACGAAATTGTAGAACGTTTAGTTGAAGATATTTTTATATTATGCTTAGCTGTAAATTGAAAAGTCGGCAAAACGTAAACGATACGAAAAATAATGCTCAACCCAATGAAACTATTGTCGTAAAATTTAATAGTATATAGTACGTAGTAAAAAGTAAAAAGTAAAGGTAGGAAATTAACAAATAACGTGTTAACACGCGCTCTGTCACGCCACGTTTTAATAAGACATGTTTACACTTGAAAAACACACTATAATGCCATACCTTATGATTTTAAGTTTGTCATCTAATTTTCATCACAATATCTAATAATAATAATTAAAACATAATACAATACAATATTTAATTACTACCTATAATGATGAGCGCGACTTGTGATTTGAAATGCGTTTGGTATCCTGTCGGATGTAGATGGAGAATATTTCGAACAACAATGCAAATACAGCCAGATTCAGTTAATTATTTTGGCCACCTGTTGCATGCTCAAAGTATTGTATCATGACCGTGATTTTAACCCAGACAATCGATTTGCAGATGATCAGTTTTTCAAAATATACAACCAATTATAAGAAATAGTGAGTACCTGCGCTAATGTTTCGATATGAGAGATAAATATACAGAATACTTTTGGTCATCGGGAGATACAGTCCTATATTGTCTATATAATATTGAACACTAGAGAATAATAAATAGTATTAAAATATCTGTATAACATTTTTCACAAACGCATAGTCTTACTACTTGACAATATAGTATTTAACTATCTAATTTAAATTTTATATTCAAATCAATATCTGGTGCCTTTTGACTGTCGTATTATGTTTGTGTATTACACCACAAAAATAAAATGTCTAATGATCTACCTTTGCCCGTATAATTTAAATAATATAACGAAAACTGTAAACTTAAAAATAAAACTTATCATAATTTTAGTGTTATGTTTCCGATTTTTGGACACAAATATTGGGCGGTATCTCGACGAAAATGGCATATTATTATATTAATGAAATTACGATTTACATATAATATTACCGCAGTTATAATTAATCTACGCGTACTCCGTATAATAGAGTTGTACCTATGCGTTTGTTATAAAATATATGTTTATGTTTTTCTGTAGGCGGAAACACGAGACATATTACAGGTAGGTACCTAGCCACGCACGGTGGTCATACACAATGTAAAATACGCATATCCGGTGGACTGCACTGAAGTTGTGATATGTGTACGAGTAGTAATTAATAAAATGTACGCAATGGTTTCAACTCACAGACCCGATTCTAATGAACTGCCCGAACTAAAGTCAAAACGGCCATTTTTTTCACCTTTGTCTCCGATGTTCGAAGTTAACCTCCTATATTTTAATAACCGAGTTCATTTCGACGGAGGTGTATAGAATTACATTTTCGTGAATGCAAGCTCGAGTGCTTAATAATAATTTATATTAATCGGTTAGATTTTTTATTTAAATATTATTTATAAACGCGCACGGCCCGCAAGGAAACCATAAACTCGTTTTGAAACGAAAAAAATGCACAAGACCTTATACGCAGATGCAAGCGGATACGTATCTCTCTAACACAATAAAATATTTCGTAGGTCTAATATCGTAGTCAGAGAGCGCATCATAAACCGTTTTGGATAACTACTTCCGGTGTATAACCCTGCTGGAACTAGCTTCGAGTATACAACGTGACACCACGTCCGGAAATACGTTTATTATAAAAAATATTTTGTGCTGGACAAAATATTATTGTTAATAGTTTTTATTTATTTTTGACGGAATTCGTCGTAATAGTATATACATTACTATAGTAAGTTATCGATTATCATTGATTACTTATGAGTAGGTGCGGCTCGTACAGTCAATGATTTTGATAATATACCTAAGTCCGAATGTCCGATGCAATTAGAAATAATGGCCATTAAATAGTTGATTATAAATTATAAATTGATGGCTCCGACTTATTATATTACGATTTACATTTGATATTATATTACATAGGGACTTATAACGCATATTTTCATCGTTTATATCTTACAAGGGTGTACAGAGTAGATACCAGTGGATCGGTCAGGAAGTGTAAAGAGTTAGTGGAGAGAAATATTGAGAGTTTATAGGTACTTTGCACAAAAATATCATATATATTACACTATATTATGTAAAATTTGCACCTCGTATACATTTTGATATGCATAATTCGCGACAAATTTTGCTCAAGGTTATGAAGGTGTACATTAATTAATTTATTGCATCAACATTTCAAAGTTAAAAACTGTAATGAATACCGTTTGTTTGATACTTTAATACGACAATACCAAGTTCATAATATAAATTGTTTTCCTCAAATCAAAATTGTTCTCATAGAATATGGCGGCGCGTGATGCATATATAAAGTAATAACCATTGATATCTGATTAACTTAAATTCAATTTTAATTTAATGTCACTTACTAAGTGAATTACATAATATTATTTTGTTTAAAAAACCCATAATAATGTTTTTTTTTTTTTTAATTTAATTTCCGCATAAAGATTGAATAACTTATTTTATGAATACATTTATTCTGACATTTTAATTAAATCAATTTTTTATAATAATAAAATATTTACTAATAATATATTTGCATTAAAAGCTGATCCCCCCCCTTTTCAAAAAATCTGTATGGGACCTTTTTACCTTTATATTATCCCCCCAAAGTGTACAGCCCTAATCTACTCGTGGTTACTTTTAATACTCATATTATACGAGTGTTTATAGGAAATATATTACCTATAAAATAATTGGTTTATAGCGTCAGAAAAATTGTTTTTATAGTATGTTTTTCTTTGTAGCTCTAGTACATAATATAGTACTTAATAGAATAAATAGGTAACCAATAATGAATACTTAATATATTACGTAATATGAGTAAATTGCACTTAAATATCAATTTATAACAGTTTAATAAAAATATGAAATAAAGAAAACCTCTTGGAAACTACGATACTATACCTACGTATAATAATATAATGTTTTCCTCAACGAAAATAAATTAGGTTATGATCAAAAGTTAACCGATTAGATAAACAATTCAAAAATCAAAATGTATTAAACTGGATGACAAAATGTTAATTAAGCATACTTTTTTCTTAGATACTATATAAAAATTAAATTATATTAAATATATTTTATAAATAATTAGCATACCTAATCCTAATATAGTAATATTACATAATTTGTCGTTTAACTTTATAATTCTATCTTTATTAGCTATAAAATAATAATTAATAATCTATATATTATGATGATAATATTATGTAATAATAATTAATTATAGAGGCGTCAAACACGTAAACTAATTTGTCATTACTCACATGTTAAAAAAGTATGAATTTAAAAGATGAATGACCGTTGTCAACAAATAATTGCATAAAATAATAATGAATTCAAAACATTGTTTCTATATCGAATTATCTTTACGCCAAATCATTTTTGATTATTAACACTCAATCGGGTTCAAAGATTTAAAGTTTAAATATTTTCGTTGAATATTCATCCACGCACATAATATGTGACCTCATAATTATCACGTCCCAGTAAATATATTCATTACTCTCAATTTACCAATATTTCTGATATACACGACAGTATAATACTATCCGACAAGTCGACTTTTGATGGTTATTGAATTGACCTTAAAATTAATTCACTGGTCTACACTGGACTATATCAGCCAAACGTCAAGAATCTTATTAAAAAAAACACTATTCATAAGACAGTTAATAGCGTGTGTATAGAATCTAAATGCACTAATATGCATTACGCGACTTATATTATGTATACTTATAAGTTATAAGCTATATAAATACTTAACAGTTTATTATTAACTATGAAAAAATATTCAAATGCGGCGTTTTATATACATGCCTTTATGACGTATCAATGTATCATATTATATCTACATTCTACACGTCATAATGTTATGTCTTTCACTCATTCAAGATACCTACATAATAATATATGTTTCACTTTTAGTCATAAATGCATGTCAATACAGCAATATAATATACGGATTTAGTTTCACATTAAATAGGTACAAACATTTTGTTGGCTTATACAATATGCAAAGATTTAGTTATAATATTTTTTTTACTATAATATGTAATAGGTACCTAATGCTACTTATATGTAGGTACATAATTATTACAGTTTTTTTTCGGCATTAATACTATGCCATATTAAGCGTGTTTATTTGCGATAAGATAATGAAACATTTTCTCGTCAAGTTTTTCAATATGTTTAAATAGGTAACTTATTATAATTATTAGATAATATACATTTAATGCTATTAAACTCAACATCTGTAAAAAAAATTAATTCCTTTTCCAATAAAAAAATCAAATCAATTATCTAATAGGTAGAAAATGTAGTAATAATCAATATATACATAAAACACGATTTGCCTTCAACTATGACAATATTAATTACTAATTAGGTATTACAATATTTATGTTCAGTAAAGACATTTTTCTCGTAATTTCTTACAGAGAGTAAGGGAAAATCAATAGTCGTAATAACAACGCGTTATATAACTATTGGTAGGGGGATACGCGATCGGGAAAATTGAAAAAAGTTTATTTTCTCAGATAAGGTAAGTACTAAATATTTTGTAAAGAGTCAATGTATGAATTAAAAATTAGAAACGAACCTCCTAAATCGCGTAATGACTATAGTATGAGGTAGTTTGGAAAATATAAAAAGACTTATACTCTATAGGCTCGTTAATAGTTTTTCCGAGGCGATTGATCGTGAAAAGCCGCCGCCGCCGGGTGGAAAGCGAGAGATATAAATATTATGATGACATAACGTCAGATCGGGAGACGCGATAAGGGGAGCAGAGGGGTTGCTCTCCGCGATTGGCGAGCAATATATAACAATACTAATAACGAAGGAAAATCGATCCTTCGTCTTACCTGGTTTTGAGGCGTGGGCGCCTGTTTTTCCGCGTCTTTCACCATTTGTTTTTCGGTCATAACCTTCTCCGCGCACAGTATGAGTTGACGTGACCACGTACAATGTTATCGGTGCTGTACGCCGGAATGCCGTCGATCAGGGAGAGCTGATTATCGTGATGCGCCGCGTGATGTCCGTCACTCGCTCGCTCGCCGCCACTCTCTCTCTCCAAGTCTCCCTCGAAAATACCAAAGTTCGGCTGCGGTGTGTGCAGGGTAGGTACCTATGTGCCAAGCCGCGTACAAGGGACGACTGAGGGTGCGACCGGTCGCGCAAAGGATCTATATAAACGCTTTGTGGCGAGCGCGCGTGTGTGAAAAACGGTCGTCGTCGTCGTACGTATTTTATACGAAATGCGATATAATAATAATACGATATCGAGCGCGCCCCGGCTGCGTCCTCCTCGTCCTGCACACGGCCAAACGCGTTGTGACGACGGGAGCGCTCCCGAGCGCCGGTAGCGGCGGCCCGCCATCCTTCCCCCCACGCCGAACGCCGCATCCCCACCACGAGACGCACCCACACGCGCGCGCTCACGACGCATCAACGAACGCCGCAGCGGGGTGCAGGTGCGCGCGCGTACACTCGTGTTGTGCTCGTGTAAAGTATTGTATAGGTAGGTGTTATATGGTAAGCGTACCTCTACCTATATCGGCTATCATATTATATATTACACCTGTCTGACGTTATTCTTAACAATTATCGTGATGTCTATATGATTTTGTGAATGCATTAGATTGTTATCAATGATAACTTATTATCAACCACGATCCTGCCCACCCCCCGTGATAACACTACTACCACCCCCGACCGAGATTTGTGCGCAGTCCTTCGCGGTCTTTTTTCCAAAATAATATATACTCCACGACCGAGGTTTAACACACTGCCGAAGTTCCGAATCAATATTGTTAGTACACTCGCATCGACATATGGATTTGGATAGTTATTTGACTATAGCAACAGAAATCATCAAAAGAACATCGACCACTTATAATGCAGACATATTATTATATTTTGAGACACTTCATTTTCACAAGTGATAGACAAAAATAATTGTATAGCACTTATCAAAACTTAAAATTAAAAACTTTTTAACAGTTTTAAGAGGATTACAATATAGAAAAAAACGGGCCAAGTGCGAGTCGGACTCGCGCACGAAGGGTTCCGTACCATCATCTATAAACATGTTGGCAGCAACACTTCTTTGTTCTTATATTGTATAATATTCTACGATTTTTAGTATTTGTTGTTATAGTGGCAACAGAAATACATAATCTGTGAAAATTTCAACTTTCTAACTTTTATGGTTCATGAGATACAGCCTGGTGACAGACGGACGGACAGCGGAGCCTTATTGGTAATAGGGTCCCGGTTTTACCGTACGGAACCCTAAAAAGAAATCAAAATCATAATATAATATTATTGCTCTGCGCATGAATTATTATAGGTAGGTGTTATATAGTACGCGTACCTATACCTATCGGCCATCATACTATATTTTACCTGTCTGACGTTATTCATATCGTCATCGCGTGATGTCTATATGATTTGGGCGAATGCTTTAAATTATTATCATTTTCAAATTGAACAATTTTATCATCAACCATGATCCTGCCCTCCCCACCCCCGCGACAACACTACTGACCGAGATTGTGCGCAGTCCTTCGCGGTTTATTTTCCAAAATAATATGCACACTGCCGAGGTTCCGAATCGATATTGTTGGTACACGCATCGTATGGATTTGGATAATTATTTGACTATTTAGCAACAAAAATCATCAATATAATATCGACCACTTATAATGCAGACTACATATTATTATATTTTGAGACACTTAATTTTCACAAGTAATAGACAAAAATAATTGTAGCACTTATGAAAAATTAAAATTAAAAACTTTTTAACAGTTCTAAAAGGGTTACAATAAAAGAAAAAAGAAATCAAAATCATAATATTATAATATTACATTAGTGATCTGCACATCAATTGTTCGTCGATGCAAATTTATTTTCTGTTTAAAATATTATGCAGTAGAAATTCAAAATTCAAAGGTGCCCCAAGATACTCGTATATACCTAATTCACATACGGCACTCACTGCGAAATTGTAATAAAAGTGTAGGTAATAAAATCTTTAAGTAGAGGTGCCTATTAATTTAAAAAAACTCGTCTAGACCACGGTTCAACTCAAGTACTATAAGTACTTATAATATTATATCAGTTATGCCCACAAATAATACATATGTATGCAGTATGAAAAAAAACAATTATTGCAGTAATTAATTTGTATAATAATCGATAATACAAGACAACTTCCGGTTAAGAATAACTTGCATGTGAGCTATATATTTACCTAGGTATTATATAGGTATCTATTTTACGTACCTAATTATATTTATTAAATATTAAACTGTTTAAATGTGTATAATATTTCAGAAATTTAACGTGAATGTGGATGTCATATCGACTGTTGAACTTAATGTCTACTGTTTTTAAAATAATAAAATAACTATCAAGATACATTTTTTAGTTACCTTATTATTATAATATATAGTAGCACGTTTGTGCCTAGACACTTTTCTTACACTATATACATATTTTAGGCGTTAAAATATGTACTTGATGTAATAGAGTGTACAATAATAGGTAATATTATATTTTATAATAACGAATTAGATAGTAGTAATATAAGTAATACACGTTCGTAGGTATAGCGTAATGTTAAATTGAATAATTAAAAATCTTTTCTATGCAATTTTTTTAAATAATATTTGGTTTTAAATGCTGTGTAAAAAATTATAATGTTTAAAATATTTCATTTAAAGTCAAAAATGAATAAATATTCATTGAATTTGAATTTAGAATTATTATGGATCTATGTAATATTGTTGTTAAAATTTATATAATTTGACAATGAAAAAAACCAGTTCATGATATTAACCATAACGGGTACACCATGGCTAAAATTGCAATCACTATCCATGAATATTTTTGTTTAGCATTATTTGTATTAATAAAAAAATGTATCTAAATATTTGAATTGTTGATATTATATTATATTAAAAATTTGAACCACATCTAGGTTCATCTATAGGTTCATTATCTGATTAAATTAATGAAATTCGTGAATTTTAAATTATAGATAACTCAATCCTTATACGTTATAACTTTCATCATCGATCAATCATTCAGTTTTGTCAGTTTTTTTTCCCAACACTGACTCAACGCCTATTTCGATCATTATACAACACATAGTGTTTCATTTTCTCAAGCCCAACATTTAAAAGGTACCTATATTATCTTTAGGTGTACGATGTAAAATATAATACAAAGATACACAGATGGGGACACAGATTAATTTAAATGTTGCCAACGAGTAATACGTTATATAATATAAGTATATGTCATAATTAGCACATTATGTAAAATAACAGTATAAACTATAAATATATAATATTATTGTACTAAAAAGATGGTATATATACAGTATTATGATTTTTGGGAGATACATTATTTACAAACGAAGTAACTCATAGAAAAATATGTATAACGAGTTTAACGACTAAATGTCTAAAATTTAAATCACATTTTTTCTATAAATAATTCAGTAAAAATGATGAACTATGAAAAGTTTCAAAAGTCCAAGAAGGATGTAATATAACTAAACAGGTCTGTTGGTATGCGGTATTTTAGTTACGGAAAATAGGATGTCCAAATTGTTGGTAAAACGTGAAAAAGTGGTAAGATTTTTCCAATGTAATAAAATGTTTGTCCTGTACTCCTGTCTTAAGTAAAATCAGATATGGCAACCCTACACCAACACCCTAAAAGAGGGGTGGCGTTTCATAAGTGACCTAGCGTTCCAAAATTAAAAATACGGCTCTGATACCATGGTATTTGCAAATACCAGTACAAAAACAATAATTAATAAATAAATGCACTTCAAATAATAAATTATTGTATGCAACAAATTTATTTTATATAGAACGCATAATAGGTCATATTATTATTAGGTATAGATTATAGTTATTTGATTTGTGAAATGTATATTACGACATACGTACCTATTATAGACCATAATATTAAGTTAAACAATATTAAATCAATACAAACAGAATTGTCGTTTGAATCCTTATTGGTTATTACTTTATTAGTTGTTACGCTGCGGTAATCGGTTTCATCTAAACGAATTTTAAAATGTAACACCCATAGGTTTAGTCTAACAGTTTCAACACACACGCCAACATCATCGCACAAGCTTTGACATTGTGTTTTAATCAAAACAATATTATATATAATAATATGTTTATTTTAAATAAGCGAACAACACTATATATGGATAAGATATAACTGACACTTTATTGCACAGATGGAAGATGTATCAGAATGATAATATTGTAGTAATAATTTATATCGAAGATAATGTATGACATTAATGTGAAATTATGACAACTAATAGATCCCACGCGCTCAATATCAACGCACATAGAAACACTGTCATCGATAAAATGATTCCAATAACTATTTCAAGCTAGGTATCTGACGGGATATGTGTAAGTGTAATGGTAATAATTTCTTGCCAAGCAAATTATAGAGTACCTATTTAGGTATCTGGTATATACACAACCGATTGATTATTTAAGTGCGCTAATTAGAAACACCAACTTATTTTGTATTTTTATTGTACATATAATAGTAACGGATGTTAAGAAAGAAATAATTGAACGAAATGTCAAATTTAGGTCAAAAATAAATTTGCATAGAGCCATTTTTAAAATAAAATTGGAAGGGAGCGAAGCATTGATCGCATGTATACATACGAGTGTGATAGCTTATAACAAAACGGCGAAGTGAAAGGCGTTCTATAGGAGCAATTTTAGTGAGATTTCGGGTTGAAATTTGAACTAGGTTTTAACTTTTAATATATTAGGTAGTAAGTACTACTAGGTATTCAAAATATTTTTGAGCAGCGATTTAAAAGACGCGATAAAACTTAGTAAGCGTTTAGAAGCATCGTATA